GAATTATTTAGTATTTAAGTAAATAATTAATAATACCTTAAATTACTCAACTTAGATTTAAGTAAATAAATATTTTTTTTTAAAAAAAATATGCACCCAACTTTCAGTTGTCAATTTTTTTTTCAAACAATGTGGGTGTACATAGGCTTCACCAAAAAGCCCAAAACCCAATGCCGCCTTTTAACGCAATTTAATGTACTCCCTAGAATATAACTGACAACTTTCATTACTCTTGAAAAATTACAATTTTTCCCTCCTTAAAGGACTTTTTTCTTAATTTACAATAAATACAATTTCTCTGAATTTTATAGTTACATTGTTTATTTAATATTTAATTTATAACTTTTATAAGAATGAGACATGTATATCCCGGGCCGGGCCGTGCTGGCCGTTGCAGAGACCCAGGTGGACGGGCTATGCTGGGCTGGGCGAGCAAGTTCTTAGACCAAATTTTTGTAGGTGGGCTAATGGGTTGAATTTTAGGACAAGTAATGGGCTTGCGGGCAAGTTCGAACTTTCTCTTAAAGAATATTATGCTTGAATTTAAGTGCCTATTATCAAATTTATCGAATTTTGGACTTATTTATTCTGTCCGGATAATTAGTCCAGGGGACAAACCCACCCATGGACACCCCTGCTAATGGACGCCATTTATGCAGCAGGTCAATTTACATTCATATTTAAATCTAAATCTCCTCTAAACTGATGCTTGGTGTGGAAAGCCAACTTTCAGCGGTGGACCATAGAAAGCTGATATCTTTCTGGCCCAAGAAACCCATCCATTTAATTTGAATGAAAATTTGGAGTTGGGTCCAATTTTTAAGCTTTATTTAGATTAAAATTACTCAAAAATTTTGTTTAGGAATAAGTTTATTTTGATCTTCATTATTCAAAATACACTCCGTAGTTATATTTAATTGAAGTAAATTTAAAAACTAAAAGATCCTGAAAATTAAAAGCTAAAAACTCCTATGTATATATATTTTTTTGAATTTTGAAAAATCTTTCAAAATTAAAATTTTCTATGTATCTCTAATATATATACTAACAATAAGTTAGCACTACAAGGGTTGACAAAATCATAGACAAATTATATTTCAAGAATGTAAATGGCGCAAAACTTAAGGCAATACTAACCAAAATCATCCGAGAGATCAAATCTTAAAACACTGCCAAAATTTAAAGAAAACACGGTCCACACAAATTATTAGACTCGTCATTAAGTCACAATAAATTTTTGAAAAAATTACCAATAAATATTATTTTTTCTCACAAACATCTGTTAAGTTATATCATTTTTGTTTTATATCAATGAAGTCCTAAATTCCATAAAGACTATATTTTGTTCCAAACTATCATTCTCTTGGCAAAATATTAATGTATAATAACATTAATCGTCTTCTATTCATACATACCCCAACTTCTTGAGTTTTAAATTATGTATTACATACTTCATAATTTTATGAAAAAATCTAAGTACAAATAATTTTTAGAATTGTCATTATGAGATACAATAAAAGATTTTGGACCCTATGTATTATCAATGAACAAGAATTTTCTAACAAAAACTCTAGTACTTTGTGATTTTAGAATCACGATCGAAGTGAATACTAATACCTAAACAAAAATGGAGCATTCATATATCTGTAAATGTAGTTTCAATAAAAACTCGACAAGTATTTATAAATAAAAAAAAAGTAAATTAACTCATATAAAAAGAGATGACAACTGATCCACTCTAAAAAAAACATAAAATTGAGTTAAATAACAATTGATACACAATAAGAAGAATAAAAAGGTTTTGGTAACTAAAAGTTAAAGACAAAATAGAATACAATAAAATTAAAACTTAATTGAAATAAAATATTAAAAAAAGGACTTCATTACTATAAAACAAAAATAATAGAACTTAATAGATATTTATAAAAAAAAATTAATACTTATTGATAATTTTTCTTAAATCTAACTACCGCAACTATATAATAGTAAGTCTAAAGAATCCAACAACATATCCCATATACCAACTACCTCATACCACCATTTATAATTAACAGTATGTACCAGAAAAGCAGTTGCTAAATGCAAACTCAGTTCCAAGGTATCTGAGACAACCAGAGAAATGTCTCAACTCAAAATGAAACTATGATGTAGAAAGTTGCTCAATATTTCAACAACATCTTACATAAATAACAAAGATTTATGAGCATAGGATGTGCCCAATACACATAAATTAGTAATTTCAATTGAACATAAAAGGACAAATAAATAAATTTTGATCTGTTGGTTTAAATTTGATAATGTTTGGCAAGAAAAATAGCATTATGCCACTATAAGTTTTAAAACACGTAAATTATTGAATTCGCCATCATGTCACAATAAATATCTAGCTACGGCAACTATATAATGGACTTGGGAGAATTCATTTAAAGTTTTTTTTTTTATCACATCCATTTAAAGTTCAACCGAAAAGAAGTGTAGGTTGTTCACATATCACATAAAATGCTCAACATCCACCTTCCTCTCTCACTATAACATAATAATTGTTGGCAGCATCATTACTCTAGTTATTTTTTGTGCCTGAAGGCATGAAATAATAAATAAAAATTAATAATAAATATATTTGTATTCACACCAAAAAATAAATTACAAAAATAGAGAAGAGAAAGATAAATTTAAACACTACTTTTAATGGGCTGCGAGCGGTGATAGTGACGGTGAGCGACAATAGTGGTAGTGGGAGACGGTGATAATTGTGATTGATGATGACGATCAATTGTAATGGTGGCAACCGTGGCTAGAGATGGTGATTGGGATGGTGCGGTAGTGGGGGTGATGGTGGGATAGTGACAATGATGTAGTGGTGATAAGGTGGTGACATCAGTGATGGTGGTGGGGCATTAATGGGGTGGTGGTGGTGGTGGTGGAGTGGTGATAATGATTGTGGTTGTTGTGGAAGAAGTGATGGTAGGGTGGTGACAATGGTGGTGGCAGTGGTGATAATAATAGTTGTGGTGGGGTGGTGGTGGAGGTAATGGTGATTGTGGTGGGGCGATGAGGGTGAGGATGGTAGAGATGTTGGAGGCGCAGTTTCCAAATATTATTTTTTTTTAAAAAAAAATACTTATGAGAAATTATAAGTATTAAAAATATTTTTTAAAAGTCACCTCAAACACACTTTTAGAAGTTTATTTTCTCTATTAAATTTAGAGTGTTAATATTAGCCGTCAGATTAATTTTAAAGTAAAATTTAAAGAGATTTCAACCATAAATAACAAATGTCATTTTATTTATTTTTTAAGATTTAAATTGTATTGTACTTTATTATATAGATGTTCCCGTGTAAAACACATTTTTTTTAATGCATAGGTTGAGTTACCAGAATTAAAATTTTTAAATTTAAATAAATTATTGTATTTAAAAAATTAAATATAAAATAGTGATTAAAAGAGAAAAGATGAATGGCCTAGCAGTTAAAGTCTATCCGTGACCAAAATAAAAAATAATGGTTAAAGGATTAAAATTTAAATAAGTTATTATGATTAAAAAATTAAAATTTGAATTATATTATAAGTTATCAAATGTAATCAATCTGANAATAAATATATTTGTATTCACACCAAAAAATAAATTACAAAAATAGAGAAGAGAAAAATAAATTTAAACACTACTTTTAATGGGCTGCGAGCGGTGATAGTGACGGTGAGCGACAATAGTGGTAGTGGGAGACGGTGATAATTGTGATTGATGATGACGATCGATTGTAATGGTGGCAACCGTGGCTAGAGATGGTGATTGGGATGGTGCGGTAGTGGGGGTGATGGTGGGATAGTGACAGTTGTGGTAAGGTGGTGACATCAGTGGTGGTAAGGTGGTGACATCAATGATGGTGGTGGGGCATTAATGGGGTGGTGGTGGTGGTGGAGTGGTGATAGTGATGGTGGTTGTTGTGGAAGAAGTGATGGTAGGGTGGTGACAATGGTGGTGGCAGTGGTGATAATAATAGTTGTGGTGGGGTGGTGGTGGAGGTAATGGTGATTGTGGTGGGGCGATGAGGGTGAGGATGGTAGAGATGTTGGAGGCGCAGTTTCCAAATATTATTTTTTTTTAAAAAAAAATACTTATGAGAAATTATAAGTATTAAAAATATTTTTTAAAAGTCACCTCAAACACACTTTTAGAAGTTTATTTTCTCTATTAAATTTAGAGTGTTAATATTAGCCGTCAGATTAATTTTAAAGTAAAATTTAAAGAGATTTCAACCATAAATAACAAATGTCATTTTATTTATTTTTTAAGATTTAAATTGTATTGTACTTTATTATATAGATGTTCCCGTGTAAAACACATTTTTTTTAATGCATAGGTTGAGTTACCAGAATTAAAATTTTTAAATTTAAATAAATTATTGTATTTAAAAAATTAAATATAAAATAGTGATTAAAAGAGAAAAGATAAATGGCCTAGTAGTTAAAGTCTATCCGTGACCAAAATAAAAAATTATGGTTAAAGGATTAAAATTTAAATAAGTTATTATGATTAAAAAATTAAAATTTGAATTATCAAATGTAATCAATCTGAACCGTTATTGTATTAATTTAAGTTGTCGATCATGTTTTATTAATATAGATGAAATAAGACATTGTGACTTGTGAGTACGAGCCATATCGTTGGTTTATAAATTTTATTTATTCAGTAAATATAATTAATTTAGATATTTATATTATAATCCTGTGTCCAAACATCTCGTGATTAGAACGATTTGTGTTATAAAAATAAAAAATCTCAAAATAACTATAAAAAACCCAAAACGGCAGCGTTTGCTTGGTTGCATCTGCCTGGGAAATCTGCAACACACTCTTCCGAAAGTACCCTTTTCAGCCAATGCCTACCGAAACGATTGCAAACTGGATGATAAGGTACCAACCTAGCACTGAACCAGTACTTACCCCTCTTCATCTTCTTCGTTTCTTTCCTCTTTCTCTCTCCCCCAGTCCTCAACCATGGAGGCCACTCTCTTCACATTCCCCACCTCAAAACCCCCACTATCCTCCTCTCACACCCTCTCACTCAAAAACCACTTCAACAATTCACTTCTAACCCAACCCAATTTCAATCTTTCCATCCATCACCACCGCAAACCACCACCCACTTCAATCCGCGCCGCCATAAGTCGGACAAAGAAAGAAGAAACCGTAGAAACCGTCAAACAACAACTCGAAGACTGCTACCTCTTAGCCGGCATCAAATACAAAGGCTTCACAGTCAAACAATTCCAAGAACTAAGAACTTCACTCCCTGAATCAACCAAGCTCATTGTTGCCAAGAACACTTTAGTCCTTAAAGCCATCGAAGGCACAAAATGGGAAGCTCTGAAACCGTGCATGAAGGGCATGAACGCTTGGTTGTTTGTTCACAGTCAGGAAATTCCCGCGGCGATAAAACCGTATCGGAGTTTTCAGAAGGAGAAGAAGTTGGAGGAAAATGATTTTTCTGGGGCGGTTTTTGAAGGGAAGTTTTATGCTCCGGAGGAGTTTAAGGCTTTGGAATCGATGCCGACGAGGGCGGAGATTTATGCGAAGCTTTTGGGGTCTTTGAAGGGTCCGGCGTCGGCGGTGGTGGGGACACTTCAGGCTCCAGCCAGGGATTTGGTGATGGTGTTGAAGGCTTATGTTAAAAAGTTGGAAGAGGAAGGTGGGAAATAATGGATAGGAGGAGATGTGCAGGATTGGTATGTAAGTTTATTGCTTTGTTGTTTTTGATTAATGGAATTTGAGGCTGTGGAAATTGTAGAATTTTGGAAGTTTTGTTGTTGATATGGAATTTGAATACAATGCTTATCAAATGAAAATGGCATTAGTCTTTTACATTGGAACTAACTGAAGAACCTTATGATTGTTATCTATCTGTTCTTGTCCTGGTATTGTATTGTGATTAATTGAAAACATTGCAAGATCATTATAGTTATTATTTGTCCAATGTGCAAATTAAACAAAGTTGTGTTTGTGAAATATGATCTGTATTTCCCTTGTCATGAACATATTATGGCCTGTTTTCATTGCTTATCAAAATTACTGTCAGTGTTTTACTACGATAAATGAATGATTGACTAACATGTGTATGGTGATTTGTTGCGGCAAACATATGTTCAAGCTATAATGGTCTACCTTTGTGGCTCTACGGTTTTAAGTAAGGGCGTCCAAGTTTAACATCCTTTCATCAAAATGATTGAGCAAGGACTGCCGAGTTGTTCAAAATTATTACGAAGCAGTGCTTTTGTCCTCGCCACCATCTTCTCCAGTTCTAAATTACGACAAGAGCCCGACAAGTTTCAAGTCCACTCGGAAGGACCATACAGGGACAATCATACATTTTTCAAGTTCATTATTCTTCTTCAACTAAACTTCTTTCTAACTCTTGAACAACTCATAAAGTGAAATGATGTAGCCTGCATCTTTCACCATGTCACAGACAAAGGCATGGTTCAATCAAAACACGCTAATTCTGCTAATTTTGTCCATTTTTGCGAGTCAAAAAATATGCCCTCCTCTGTCATGAGAAAATCCTTTTTAATTTGACTCTCTGATTTTGGCCCAAATCTGTCTTGAGCAATGGCTTTCGCATAACCAATACCTCCTTAGAAACCCCCATATTCCACAGAATATTCTTGAACTCTACTGGCTAGTTAGTCCTGAGTTTGGTACAACAGCATTTACAGCACGTGTGTTCTTCTTCTTTGTCCTAGCCTCTTCTACCAAAATCATCACCAGAGAGGGGAGCTTTCTGACCATCCCACTCAAGGCAAGACAAGGAAATTGCAAGTATGAATAAAAAGTTCAACTAATTTAGCTTTGCAACCCAAAAGATCTTGCCAAGGATGGATCTCTTCCTATTTTGGTTTCATGCCTCTAACGGATTCACTGAACTGTACAACTAAGTCACTGATCTAGAAAAGCTCTAGTCTGGACTTGGTTATGCCGGCTTCTACTTCTACTTCTACTTCCCTTCAGGGTAGTGTGACTTTAACTACATTGGCTTGGCCAGCTATTGTCCATCGGGGTATTAGAGCTGAAAGCTTAGCTTCTTTGAACTGCATCCTACATTTTTTCTTTTGAAGGATAGGAGTTGAGTGATTGACCCACGTTTTGGGTTGTGCGTTGTAGATAACTGCTTGTTCAAATCGCCTCCCCATGCCGTCACCCAATCCCCTTTTCGCCTCCCCCCCCCCTTCCTCTTTTCTTTTCTTCTCTTCTTAGATGGGAAAATAGGAAGTAAATTATTCCAATCAGTTGGTGATTATGTTGTGGACCTCGACATTTTAGCATGTAATTAGCTGCTCAGACAAAGCATGAGCTGTATCTATTTTTTGGTAAATCTGCAAATCTTCGTTTTGACATCCATCCTCCCCTTAAATGCGTATTTGCGCCTAAGGTCAGTTTCCTAGCAACGGAAAGAGGGATTGGCTAGGAGCTCCACTTATGTCATACAATAAGGCAATATGAGCCATGACATGCCTTGCACTGGGTAAACTGTTTGTAAGGTCTGATCTTTCTGGACTGGACACAAGACACCAGTACCTATGTATTTTGCACAACCAAACTCAATTTTACAAAATTTTCCTTTACCACTCACAATGATTATGGTTTTGTGGCTAGTCTATCTTGGTGTTGCATGATGCGTGATGTCCAGAAAAGGGGGAAAGATCTTGGCTTTGTATACATCCTTTCACTTGATCAACACCATAGCAATGCCTAGGAGGAAAAGCAAATGCAGGCAAATGAAAACAAGGTCTGGGAGCCATATTAATCTGCCGGTTATGCTTCCTTACCACTAGACGTTGGGGGAACACAGCTAAGAGTTTCCTAGCATTCCTCTTCTGTTTTTTCAATTTAGTTCTTCCATGGTCAACATCACATACTTATGACCATCCTAAGAAATATCTTTTTTCTTTACTCATTTTCTGCTTTTCTTTTTCTAGGCAGAATTCAATTAATTTCTTTCATTTAGTTCTTGTTTCTGCAAATTCAAAAGCAATAATTCAATTTAAAATGTTCCATTCCAGTATATACAAAATCAATTTAACTTGTTTCCACAAACTATCTGTATACCCAAAGCCTTAACTAGTGTTAACACAGGTCTGTCAATGCATATTATCATGCACCAGTCACAACTAGAAACTGGAATGAATCATAACCCAGTTTATCTAGTGGCCAAATCTCCGAACCTGCTTAATTTAATAAAAAGGAAGGTGTGTGTGTGTATATATATATATATACAGAGAGAGAGAGAGAGGGGGGAGGTACACAACTGTAGCCACATCAATAATTGCTATCCCCAAACTTCTTTTTGGCTTCCAAATAGTGTTATTTTCTGCTATATATCACATTATTCATGCAGCATTACAGCAATATCATTTTTCTTAAACAAGCAAATATTTACAAGAGTTTGAAACAAATAGGTCAAACATCAAGGGTCTGATTAGTGAGTTTGGTCTAAGATAACTTGCAGGTCATTTTACGCGTGTGTGGATAGGATGGACTCCACAACGGCCCGAGCTATGGGGTGGGGTGATAAGAATCACAGGCCTCTGCAAACACCCTCTTGGCAAAGATCTTTTCTTCTTTTCCACTGCCTTGTACAAGTGCAGTATAGAGTGGCCGAAGGTATTTCATCCTCCCAACCTGCTTCAAAGTTTTCTCCACCTCATTATAGTAGTCTCTGCACCTTGACAAGATTGCCAGTTCGAGAAATGCCACCTTCACCTCATAATCTTTTGATTCTGAAAGCCTATACTGCGCATCCAAGGCTGAAATCTGCAAATAAACCACAAAAATGTCAACTATAAATTTCAAAATCTGATCATGAGCTTGTCTAGAGGCCAGGTTATTAAAGAATGCACTATATGCCCATATAAAGCTTATACTGTCTTGTAGTAGAGGATTTGCACATCTTCTGGACAACTGTAAATAAATACATACAAAGATGTCATAAACTAAAGCAGCATCAAACATTATACCCCCACCCACATCTGCCTCTGCACAGCCAACAATAAACACAAACAGATCACACACGTGCGTACATACACAAGCACAAAGAATATATGTTTCAATTCTTCCACAAGCTTGGCAATCGCGAACATACATAAAAAGAGTATCAAATCAAGCTCTAGCAGAGAGCAAGGAGTATCAAATCGAGCAACAAACATGTACAAGTTTCATCAATGTTCAGAAATACTGGTCAAAAGCGTGAAAGCGCTCAATATGAATGGAGAACAACAGATGTATTAGCAAGACTATCTTCAAGTAGGAAAGCTGGCATTAACAGAACGAAAGATCACCTACTTAGCGTGTTTTTTCTGTTTTCTGCAAGATAGGAATTTAGATATTGGGCAGCTCAAAGATAAAACCTGCAACTGTCTTCAATTAGGAAAAGATGAAACAATAAATTGCATAAATTAGACATAGCAACCCAGAAACAGAAGTAATTAAAACAGCTCTAAAGTACATTAGTGTCTACAAATAATTGATAACAGAGAAGAAACACAAAGTATCACAGAGTTGCCAAGCTATACTTACCTGTGAAGCTTCACCAGGTTTGGGCAAGTTCTGGAGGTAAAGCTCCCATTCCTGTCCTTTCCAATCGGCAACTTCGTCCTCCCTTGGTAACTTACCAAGCTTGAACTCATTTGCCAATGATACAATCTTTGAGTAGATGTTGGAAACTGGGTCCATTGCATCTGAAGGGATGCCAGTACCCTCGGTCCATACTTTTAGATCGATTTCATTCTCTATCCCGGGAACATTTGCTTTCAGGAAATCAATAAACATGTCAGTGTCAATGGATTTGAACTTGAAGGTGGCAATATATTTCTTGAGAANACTTAGCGTGTTTTTTCTGTTTTCTGCAAGATAGGAATTTAGGTATTGGGCAGCTCAAAGATAAAACCTGCAACTGTCTTCAATTAGGAAAAGATGAAACAATACATTGCATAAATTAGACATAGCAACCCAGCAACCCAGAAACAGAAGTAATTAAAACAGCTCTAAAGTACATTAGTGTCTACAAATCATTGATAACAGAGAAGAAACACAAAGTATCACAGAGTTGCCAAGCTATACTTACCTGTGAAGCTTCACCAGGTTTGGGCAAGTTCTGGAGGTAAAGCTCCCATTCCTGTCCTTTCCAATCGGCAACTTCATCCTCCCTTGGTAACTTACCAAGCTTGAACTCATTTGCCAATGATACAATCTTTGAGTAGATGTTGGAAACTGGCTCCATTGCATCTGAAGGGATGCCAGTACCCTTTGGGCCATACTTTTAGATCGATTTCATTCTCTATCCCGGGAACATTTGCTTTCAGGAAATCAATAAACATGTCAGTGTCAATGGATTTGAACTTGCAGGTGGCAATATATTTCTTGAGAAATTCATCAAACGCAGGCCTTCCAATCTGAGCATTGAAAACAAAAAAAACGTTGCCAATCAGGGTCGTCTTCTTTAAACTATCCCTAACAAAGCTTTTGAGTGAGGACCGGCAAGTACACAAACCTGTATTTCAATGCGCCATAAAAACTGGAAACCTTTTTCATAAGGGACTCTAGAAAAAACATCGTCGGGGTCTATTCCTTCCTGATTCGTTTTGAGCTTAGTGATCGCCATGTTGTCCTTGAATCGCTCCATTTCTTTAACCAAACCCCTCCAACCAATTCCAATATTCAATGTAGCTCTGTCCTCCCCTTGCACAGCCTCAACAATTCTCCTTTCTGCATATGTTGTGAAACCCTACAACCAAAAATAAGAAAAATAGCCTAAACTCTTTGCAAAGAGGGGAGGGGGAAACTATGTGGTGGTATGGCATACTTGTGTAAATCTGAACAACATTGACAAAAAAATCACAAGGCCATTGAAGGAAATTTTCTATTTTCAATATTGTCTAATTCTTTGCCGTTTAAGTGCCTTGTTTCAGTGCCACATATACGAAAGAAGATACAATTAAAATGGGAGTATAAAATTCAAAGAGAACTAAAATTCAAGAGTGTATAAGACTTATTTAGTTTTTTGAAAATTGAGAACGAAAACTAGATAGATTTAGAGATAAGTTAGAATTGTTTTGTGTAATTTTTAAAAAAATATTTTCAAAATTTAGAAAACACCACAGCCACCACGGCTACGATGTCCACCACACCACACCACACCACCACCACTACCATCACCACACTTTCACCACTACCACTATTATTCTGTTTTCATTGTTATCTGAGTTAGTATTTAAACAAATTTTATTATTTTCTATTCTGTAAATTTACTTTTGGAATCGTATAACTAAATAAGGTTTGCGACAAAAAAAAAATACCAAAAATAATTATTTAAAACTCTTTTTAAAAATAATATTTAGATATTATTTTTTAAAACGGAAGTCAAACAGCGTGAATGATATCCTAAACAGCAGAACTTGATGGGTCAGGCGGTTCAAATTATTTTTAGGTTTTGTCATGTTATGATTTATATAACTTTTTTTTTTATCAGAACAAGACAATGAAAATATTGATTTATATAACTTACATCCGACCATTTTGGTAACATATCTAATGTCTATAAAATTGTCTGGTTCAAATTTATACTAATTGATAGGACATTTTTAAATACTTTAAGACGAAGACACGTGTCCTCGGCATCAGTAAATTCTTATTATTGTAATCACGACACGTACCCGTAGGATCACAAGTACCTCTTCCCCCGAGGTACTGTTCATAGGGATCAATGACACCCAGTACGTTTACGTACCGACACGTATCCCTCGGGGCGGATATGGGGTACATCGGTCCCTACATATACCACTCCCCTCGGTACCGAGGTGTACCCGTCCAGGATGGCGTTCTCTGCTCCTGCACAAGCTATTGATGTACAGGTCGCTAATCTAGGCTAGGCTAGGTTAGCCATCATGACCTCGTCTTACACAATTGGTGTCAGAAGGCACAGGAAGGCAGAAGACATAGCCAATGGGGAATGGGCGCGTGGCATATTGTGTCACATCAGAGACAAAAAGACCTGATGCCCTTGCTGACACACGACTTGGGAAAGCAAGCATTTAATTAGACTATTTCGTTGATGAGACAACATTTAATGCGGTAAGTCTCGAAAGAGAATGGTAATAAATGTCCCTGAGACTGGGCATTTATTACACCCTTGCCGAGGGAAGCTCATTAAACATTCGGCAGGCCGATGACGCAGCATTGGTTGCTCGGGGTCCCGAGCAGTTAAGAGAAGACATTCCTCATAGGAATCAGTGTGCACGTTGTCTATATCTAATGATCACCTACTGACCACACTGACAGCAATCATGAGTTTTTGAGGTAAAAATACTCCTCGCAAAAGGCAAGACGGGATGCAACAGAAAAACCTTTTCTCAAATCTATACTCAGTGTTTTCTTCTTCCCCTTTCTCAAAAACTGACTTGATTAGGGGATACGTCGGAAAACACTCCGGCGCCCTTCTAACTTGTCTTTCTCTGTTCCAGAAACATCCCTCAGCCTCACTGGACCGCTCCTTTAATCCACGAAAGTCACGCATTATTTTTCCAGGCCACCAACGGATCTCAGCCCGCTCCAAATAGCTAGGGTGACCATTTGATTGACTGACTCGAGTTCACCACGGGAGAGATCTGTTATCGTGTTTATATTGTGCAAGATCCTGCACGCACAATCTGGCGCCGTCTGTGGGAAACGACTAGTTTTCCTAGTTTCTTCTCTATAAAGAACAGTGACCATGGTGAATACTCGACAGAAAGGGAAAGGTCCCCAGCAAAGAAGTCTCGAGTTGCAAACTCCGCGTCATGATGGAGGGAGGGGTCACGTTGATGACGATAGAAATGTCTCTATTCAGTCAAGGGGGCTTACTCCTCAAACCATCATGGGCATCAGGTCAGGAGGATTTGCCCCTTTAGCTCGTCAACTGGCGGAGGTGATCGAAGAAAAGTTTGGGGATCGATTACGACAGTTGGAGAAAGACAATGTGAATGTGCTAAGTCGGCTCAACGAATTCGCCACCTCCGACGAAGGATTGAGGGACTCATTCCTTTCTCGTGGACTCTCCTCGCCCGGGAGGCAGAAACGAAGGATCTGAGGAATCATTTAAATAACAAGGCAGAAAACTCCAGAGCCCTAAAGCGACCAAGAGCCAACGAGCACCCTCTTAACAACCATTCCAGGAAGGCAAGACCTTTAGCCCTGGACGATCTCCGGCGAGGATTGTCAAGACGGAGGAAGGGAGATGAGTCCGAGGACTATTCAACCCTATCCACACGACGCCCAGGAAATAGGGGACCTATTGATGAACTCGGAGACTTCAGAAAACATCCCGTTGGGGAGGAAATTGAACTCAGAGCTCGGTTGAAATCTAGGAGAAAGAGTAAGGCTGTCCAGGATGAGGACGAAGACGAGGTCATACAAACACCCTTTACCAGGGATATCGGAGAGATGGAGGTTCCAAAAAAGTTCGTCGTGCCGAGGTTCAAAACTTATGATGGGCGATCCGATCCCGAAGCCCACCTTAGGCAATACAAGCAAATGATGTCCCTGTATCATTCAGACCAACGGTTCCTCTACCGAATGTTTCCTATGAGCTTGGGGGACTCTACGATGAAGTGGTTCGAGGAGCTTCCCCCTAACAGCATTGGATCATGGAAAGAACTAACGAGGCAGTTCCTGGTCCGATTCATTACGGGGAGTAAGCGGCCTAAAGACATTGGATCATTGCTAACGCTCAGACGGAGGGAATCCGAGACCCTTCACCAGTACGCCATCCAATACTGGGAAGAGGTTAATGAGGTAGAGGGCTGCTCGGAAGTCATGGCAGCGGCGTCTTTCAGACTCGGCTTGGCGAGGGACACGAACCTGTACCGATCCCTGACCAAAAAAACTCCCTCGGACATGGGCGAGTTGATGGCCCGGATAAACAAGTACTCTAGGATCGAGGACGAGATGGGAAGCAGCAAAGGCAGAACCCTCCAATCTAAGAGAAAAGAGAGGGAGCGGAAGGATACTTTTCGAAAGGGACTGCTACCCCCACCGGGGGGTCATTCAAAGGAGTTCCCACTATGTTCAAAGAACCCATTTACAATTTGCTCCATAAGATCAAGCATGAGCCATTCTTCAAGTGGCCGCCCAGGATGCAGAGCGATCCCTCCACCCGTGATCAAAAGGTCAGATGCTCCTATCACCGGAATTTTGGTCATCGCACCGACAGCTGCAAGGTATACAAATCTTTCTTGGAAAGATTGGTCCGAGAAGGATACTTAAAAGAATATATAGAGCCCCAGTCGCAAGAGGGACGCACCCCAGTCCCGACCGAGGAGCCGGACAACATCATAGATGTGATCCATGTATGCCCGCTAGATCGCCCCACGTCCAAGGAACTCGAGTTCGATCTCAAGAGGGTAGCTTTTACAAGAAAGATAACCGAGAATGATGGGGGGTCGCCCAGTAAAAGGGCCAGGATTGGTGAGCCGAGCATCACGNGGGTAGCTTTTACAAGAAAGATAACCGAGAATGATGGGGGGTCGCCCAGTAAAAGGGCCAGGATTGGTGAGCTGAGCATCACGTTCTTCGACGCGGACTTAACGGGCATGGTGACTCCTCATAACGACGCCCTTGTCATAACCCTGAAGATAGGCAAGTTCGATGTCAAGAGGGTGTTGATAGACTCCGAAAATTCCTCGGAAGTGATGTACTCTGACACTTTAAAACGGATGGGTCTTGGCGACAAGGACCTCACCAAGGTCAGGACACCCCTTATCGGATTCAACGGCTCATTCGCCCTGCCCATAGGCAAAATCACATTACCAGTTGTCACAGATCCCTTCACCATCAACACCGAGTTTGTCATGATTGATACGGACTTTCCCTACAATGTGATCATGGGACGAGCATGACTGCATGCGTTGGGAGCAGTGCACTCCACTTATCACCAGAAACTGAAATTCGCCACGCTAGAGGGGATCATGGAGATCCGAGGGGACCAAACGTCCACAAAGAATTATTTTTATTCAGCTGTTAGAGTAGGGGCTTTCACCCAAAAAAAGGGGCGCGCAACGAAAGAAATCCTGAAAAGTAGCAATCACAGTTTGGGCGTCCAGGGATGGATGACCCTCGGATTGACCCAACTGAACGGTCGGTGGAGGACCTCCGAAAGGTGCCCTTGGTGGAAGGAGAAGAAGAAAGATACTTCTTAGTTGGAACCGCGATGCCCACAACCGAACAGGAGGGGATGATTGAGTTCCTGAGGGGAAATACAGATTTGTTTGCTTGGAACGCAATGGAAATGACGGGAGTGGATCCCGAAATAATCACACACAAGCTTCATGTTGACCCGGCGCACAAGTCAGTAAAACAAAAGCCACGACGCATGGCCCCGTACCACGCCCGAGCGATCAACGAAGAGATTGATAAACTCCTAGAGGCCAATGCCATCCGGGAGGTACAGTTCTCGAAATGGCTGTCCAACACGGTCTACGCGAAGAAAAAGGGGGGGAAATGGCGTGTCTGCGTAGACTTCACTGATCTAAACAAGGCATGTCCCAAGGACGATTACCCCCTACCAAAGGTGGACCAGCTAGTGGATGCCACTGCTGGATATGAAAGCATGGACTTCTTGGATGCCCGAACAGGATATCACCAGATCCCTCTCCATCCCCCGGATCAGGAAAAGACGGCGTTGTTCACTCCAAAGGGAGTTTATTGTTACAAAGTGATGTTGTTTGGGCTAAAGAACACCGGGGCAACATACTAAAGACTGATGAATCGGATGTTCAAAATGCAGATCAGCAACACCATGGAGGTCTACATTGACGATATGCTGGTGAAGAGCAAACAAATCTGTGACCA